CCCCGCCGCCCCGCCCCGCCCCGCGTACGTCCGCAACGCGACGCCGCGTTTCTCACTTTGTCATTCCGCGTGTACAGTACCACCCATCGCCGTCGAATTCAGCAAAACTTTTCTTTTCCAATATGGAATAATGATTTGGCGCATTCAAACAGCTGGCGACCTATTGAGGAAAGATTTACTCAACTTGAAACTTTCATTGTCCTCGGCACTTTCATGCATTTTAGGATTTTGGGGGTATTAGAATTGTTATTGTCTTGTGTTGATGCATTTGATCCAAACCCGCCCAAACCCTACGTTTGGATTTGTTTTTTGTACTCAAGTTCTCATAAGCGCGTGCCTTCATCTGATTCCAGCGGGAAGCATGCAGACGACGCAGGAGCTGAGCCCGCGCTCGGCCGAGCCGGCTGTGCTTGACGCGGCCGAGGAGTCGCTCGGGGAGCGGGACTCCCTCCGGGACTCCTTGTGGGAGCGGGACGAGCGGCGGGCCTCGCCGGGGTGCGCGCCGGACCCGCCCGCGGCCGGGGACGCCGTGCTGCGCACCCTCCAGGGGCTCACCATGACGGTCAAGCAGGAGGACACCGAGCACTCGGTGCCCACGGCGCCCTCGGCGTCGTCGCCGCTGCGAAACGCCGAGAGCCCCGCCTCCAGCAGACCGGTGTCGGCGTCTTCGAGGTCCAGGTAAAGGTTCAGCACCCACTGGCTCGGTCATAACGATTTTGTTTGTGCCGGGACAGCATCTAACGTCTGCTCTCTCACTCAGCCCCTCCGTGACGATGGACAGGCTAAGCCCGGCCATGACGCAGCCTCAGCAGCAGTACCAGCAGCAACAGCAGCTGCAGCTGCGGCAGATCCACCAGCGCATAAAGGAGCAGCAGCAGCAGCTGCAGCAGCAACAGCAACAGCAGCAGCCACAGCAGAGAGAGACGTACAGAGGGACTGAGAGCGGAAGAGGAAGGTAAAACAAACGTAGTTTCAATGACGGCTCACTTGGCAAACTGCAGCCCTCGGCTCACACTGTTCGTCCTTCTGCAGAGGCCGCCGGCGCTCCCGCTGGAAGCTCAAGTTCCACCACCAGGCTCTGCCCCCGGAGTACCTGGACCACTACGAGGCGTCGCTGGCGGGCGGCGGCGCGGGCCGCGGCGGCAGGGACAGCGGCGACGACAAGGCGAGGGTCATCGGCAGCCGCGCCCCGCGGAACCCGGACCGCAACAAGCGGCCGGCGCCCGCCGCGAGCAGCGCCGCCGCCGCCGCCGCCGCCGCCGCAGCTGCCGCGGAGCCCCAGGCAGCCGCCCCCGCGCTGCCGCCACTCGCGCCCAAGCCCACCAACGGCGACAGCGCGGAGGGCGCGTTCCCCGCCGCGCCGCTCCCTATCCCCGTGCCCATGCCGTTCGGTCTCGAGGTGCTGACGCGCTACCAGGCGCTGCTCGGGCAGGGCAAGACTGACCTGGACCCCGCCGCCTTCGTGGCGGGCAACCTCATGAGCATCATGGCGCAGCCCGGGGCGGGCGACCACGCCAAGCAGCAGGAGGAGCAGCAGGCCAACGGGCAGCGCGCGCTCCTGTCCAGCCTGCTGGGGGCTGGCGGGCAGCGCGAGCCCCTCGACGTGTGCCGGGTCCTGCCGCCGGCATCCGTGCCCGCCTCCAAGGTGATGACGTTCCAGGACCTGCCCTACATGGGCGAGATGACGCTGGACAACATGAAGCCGAGGCGCGGACGTAAGCCAAAGAAGGCCGACATCTGCCACCTCATCTACAAGAACTACGGCACCGTGTTCCCGCGCGACGCCGACGAGGAGGCACCCGCGGCTGCTGTTGCCCCGGCGCACACCCCGGCGCGGCCCGCAGCGGCGGCCCTGCCGCCTCGCCTCAGCCGCAGCGATGTGCAGAGCAGAATCATCTCCAGCCTGCTGGAGAAGCGCCTGACCCAGGAGGAGCAGGCGCAGGCGGCCCTGGGGGCGGCGCTGGTGGCAGCGCGGCCGGCCGGTGCCGAGGAGCCGCTCAACCTGTGCGTCCGTGACCACAACCCGCTCAAGATCAAGCTCCTCCGCCGGCACGGCAACTTCTACGAGTCAAACGGCGGCGGCAGCAGCAGCGTGGCGACGGCCGGTGCGGTCAAGTCGGAGCCCCCGTCCCCGGAGAGCGAGGTGATCGAGGTGGACGCCGACCCCAGTCTAGTCAACCAGGAGGACGACGACGAGAACGAGGACGATGAGGACGAGGACGGCGACGGCAAGTCGACCGCCGACGAGGCGTTCCCCCGGCAGAACATGCTGTACTGGGGCGGCGCGCAGGGCCACCCCCTGTACGTTCACCCCCTGCTGTACGGCAAGGGGTTCCCGCCGCTGCCAGCGGGGATGGCGCAGCTACCCCCGCTGCAGGCCATGTCGCCGCTGCCGCCGCTGCCGCCCCTGCTCAGGCTGCCCGGCCTAGAGGACGAGCCGGCCGCGGCGCCGTCCCCGATGGCCGCACCGCCCTCGCGCCGCCACGAGAAGCAGCAGCAGCAGCACACGTCGTCGAGGCCGTCCTCCAGGTCGGGCCGGGCGAGCGCAGGCGGCGGCAGGGCGCGGGCCGCGTCGTCCTCTCCGGCCGCCAGCCCCGCGCCCAGCCCGGGGCCCGCGCCTAGCCCGCCCAAGAGAAAGCGCTCTGCCATATTCATACCGCCGGTCCCGACGGAAAGCAGCAGCAACCCCACCACAGAGGTGGGTTTCTCGTATTTCCTGTCAGTTTGTCATCCGTTTTCGTTTTGATTTTTTCGATTTTCATTTCACACGCCACCCTCTGCTCGCAGGTCAGCATCTGCAAGTTTAAGTTTACCGGCGGAGCCAAGCCTAGTCTACAGGAGAAGAAGATGCTCTCGGTCGACGCGGGTGGCAACTTCCGATACTATAGTGGCACAGGGGACAAGTCCATGAGAGGATACGAGTTCTTCCCCAGAGAGTCGATGCAGCAACAACAACAGCAGCAACTACAGCAACAACAACAGCAGCAGCAACAGTTGCAACTACAGCAACAGCAGCTGCTTCCAAAGCCGTATCCTGCGCAGACGCCGCCGCAACCTCAACCGGAGAACCTGCGCACACTTCTGTTCCAGAACGTTATGGAGAGCTTGCACATGCCTCAGCAGGGCCTGCTGGGCTTCCCTCCACAGCAGGTGCGGCAAGCAAGTACTCCCTGGGGTGGAGGTGTTTAAGGTGATAACGCGCTTAACATTTTCTTATCGTGCTTTTGCCTTGCGGTCTCACATGTGCGCCGTGCTCTGTCTGCAGTAACACGAACATGTCGCGATGTGTTGATTCGTGTCAGCGAATCCATATTTTCGACTTCGATACCGCCATTTTGAGGTCGTTATTTCATCTTGAACTTGGATGTGTAGTCTATTCGTGACTGTGACGTGTTACTTAGGCGTCGCACGCAATCATATAGGCCCAGGCCTCACGGATCCCTGCTCCGCTGTTGCAGATGCCGGTCGGTCGCACGGCTCCCTCCGCGGGATGGAACGTGGGGAACGTGGATCCGGACGCATTGCTGCAGCAGCAGATGCAGCAGCAGATGCAGCAGCACCACCGCCACCTGCTACAGCAGCAGCATCCGAATGCAAGCCGCAAGAGGAAGACGCGCAAATCGCTGGAAAGAGAAAAGCTGGAGAGGACGTTCAAGGAGAAGGGCTTCCTCATCCAGACCCAGCAGCTCGAGTCTGCAGAGGGCGCAACGTACTGCAAGTTCCGGCAGCTGCGCAAGTTCACCCGGTATCTGTTCCGGAGTTGGAAGGACTACCTGCCCGGCGGGGTCCGCGAGGTGGAGGACGGCCCAGCTCCGGTGCCGCCTGCGGTTGACGAGCGGCCCGCGCCTGCCTACTCGGTGGCTCTCGAGGACGCGGAGGACGTCGACAACGATCTACTGTAGGGGATAGTCGGGTATCGAAAACTTAACCGAATAGCTATGTAAACGCATTGGTCATTATTTGTCAGACTTGGTTTCAAGGCTAAAGGATGTCTTTGTGAGGAACCATCTGTGATTTTTGTGATGTGTATGGCGATAATTAGGCAGTTTGCGTTGTCCGTGTGAATCTTGCTCAATGCCCTGCAATTAGTAAAACTGTTACCAAATCCTGGTTCCAAGACTGCATTCTGGGACAAAGGAAATGGTTATTTCGAAAAGATCTCAGTAATGCGTATTAACGGTTGTACATACATTTTAAATGACAAGACTGTTAGCTCATTTTATGTCCAGTAGGGTAACTCTGTACATAGTCCAAAGCGCCCAAGCCTGTTATAAACAAGGTAACTTTTAATTCAACTCTTGTTTTACAGAGGGTATCCATTTTTGTCAAACCAATGTGTCATTAATTTCCGACTTTTCGCTGCACGAGTATTATCATGGTAGTGTGTTACTAGACCATAATGGTCGTTTTATATCGACATGATCGAACAAACCAGTGAACTGTGTGCATTTAATATTATACACATACAGAATTCTATGAAACTTTTACTGTGATTCATTTTTATAGAAATTCGATCTGAGAGGAACATGATCGATTCCGACGACTACTTGTTCACGGCAGTGATTTATAATCTTTATTTTTAGTGTCACCTTACCTTAGGATCACTAAATTATAGCGTACTAGATGGGGACACGCCCTGACGTTATTGTTATATGAGCTGTGATCTGCGTCATAAATGTTGTATTTTTGAAAGGTACACATTGTGATTGTTTTAGAATTAACATTTTTTTTCAGTGGATATCGGGTCGGTCTCTTCTTTAG